TAGGCTGCAATTACCACCATTGGGTTTACACAGTGGATAGGCACGTGGTGGGGTGGCAGTGGTGCTGTGGTCACTACAGCACAACATAAGACAAAGCATATGAGGGAAAATGCCTGTAATGAAGGGATGGGATCGTAGTGGCAACAACAGTGGATCTTGCCCTCATATTTCAGGCAATGGAACAATGTAGGCCACCTCTGGTGGTGCTGTGGTGCTGGATGAGACTCTTGAGAGTCCCCTGGACTGCAAGGAGAACAAACCTATCAATTCTAAAGGAAATCAACCCCGAGTGCTCACTGGAAGGACAGATCCTGAAGCTGAATACTTTGGCCATCTCATGAGAAGAAAAGACTCCCTGGAAAAGACCCTGATGTTGGGAAAGTGTGAAGGCAAGAGGAGAAGGGGACGACAGAGGACGAGATGGCTGGACAGCGTCATCGAAGCTACCATTGTGAATTTGACCTAACTCTGGGAGGCAGTGGAAGACAGGAGGGCCTGGCGTGCTCTGGTCCATGGGGTCATGAAGAGTCGGGCATGACTTAACGACTAAACAACAACAAAGGTCGCCTCTGAGTGGAGAGGAGTTTTAGGTGAACTTTCCACATCCTTTTTTGACTCTCAGTGTATCAGAGAGAAAATAGTGCCAACCATTATGGGAATATTGGTTAAAGTACGTTCAGTGGTGACCCTATGAAACCTCCAAAACCATAACAAAACTACAACAGTGGATACATTCTAGTCAGATCTGCATCCATGGGGAAAATCCGTATTTATTTTTTGGATAATGTACACCACCTGGGAATCTCATTTCCTATTGGGTCTCTTTTTTTAGTGGATTCTTCTACTGTTAGACAGAATGAGGTAGTTGCCTCAGGCAGCAAATGCTGAGAGCCTGGTAGAATTCTTTGCATCAGATAGCCCATCCTATAGCCCTCAAACCTGGTCTACTGCCCTCATAAATAGTGAAACATGCTTCCATATCTCTGATGGTGAAGTAAAAAATCAATGGCCAGTCAGTATTATATTTGTTTTTTTCTTTGTTTACCTGCCTGCCTGCCTGCCTGCCTGCCTACCTACCTACCTACCTACCTACCTACCTTGTATACAATTCCATAGTGCGTAGAACTCTCTAGGCAGTCTGCAACAGAAAATCAATCAAATAAAACTGAATACAAAACAAAAAATACAATTTAAACCAACAAATAATTAGTCTTCTGCCAGAAACAAACCTAACTCTAAATAAATAAAACATTTTAAAAAACCTTAAAATCCCTGGTCAACATTAATAGAAGACTTTGTTGAAAGTTATGTTTTCTGCAGTTTCTTAAAGAATTGGAGGAAAGGAGCCTGTTGAACCTCTACTAGAAGTTTACTCCAAAGAGATGGGGACACCACCGAGAAAGAATGATTTCTCGTGCTCTCTCTTTTAGCCTTCTTTGGTGTCACTATTCTTAACATAATGACAAAGATGGGATGGATAGCTGCTTTGTAGGAGCGATGTTCGAACAAGCATCAAGGGCTTTATAGGCAATAATCAGCACCTTGAATTGTGCATAGAAACTAATTTTGTATTTTATTAGATATACAGTATTTATATCCCACCTTTCCTCCAGTAAAACAGACGTACCTGTCTCTCCTCCTTCCTCCCCCAAAATTCTACTAGATAAGTGTGGCTGAGATAGAGTAAGTGGATCAAGATCACTCTAGAGATGGCCACAAACAAATATAAAACATGGCTGGCCCGGGTGCCCTGGATGGACAATCTCAGGGAGAGATGTATGGAAAAGCTAAATAAATCAGTCTATAACAAATTCCGTTCCAATACACAGAAGTGCATTCAATGCACTCAATGTAAGCCTGATATTGTGGCTAATGCATTGCTGGTGCTAAACAAGCATTCAGAGGGGGAATAAATAGTTGGTGCACATTAAAGTGCTCACTGGAAGGACAGATCCTGAAGTTGGGGCTCCGATACATTGGCCATCTCATGAGAAGAGAAGACTCCCTGGAAAAGACCCTGATGTTGGGAAAGTGTGAAGGCAAGAAGAGAAGGAGACAACAGAGGATGAGAGGGTTGGACAGCGTCATCGAAGTGACCAACATGAATTTGACACAACTCTGGGAGGCAGTGGAAGATAGGAGTGCCTGGCGTGCTCTGGTCCATGGGGTCACGAAGAGTTGGACACGACTTAACAACTAAACAACAGCAACACACATTAAAGTGAATGACGAGATAGCCAGATGGTAAAGTGTGCATGACTATATTTTTTTTTATTTTGGACAATATCACTAATTCACTAGAAAAAGCCCATCTCTGGGTCAAAACATTTTATATGACTCCTGATGGTGCTATTGGAATTTCAAGGCATAATAAAAAAAATTGGTTTGTTCGAGTAAAATCAGAGCTCGTTCATTCATTCGTTCGTTTAGTCGTGTATGGCCTAGTGGGAGGGCCTGGTAGTTTGAATCCTGATTTTACTGGAGCCTGTGTTCATGTTCCTTAAGGGTTTTGTCCTATCTTCCACTGCCTCCTGGAGTTCTGTCAATTTCATGTTGGTTACTTCGCAGACACTGTCCAGCCATCTCATCCTTGGTCGTCCCCTTCTCCTCTTGCCATCACAAAAATCAGAGCTACAGTAGACAAATACTTTTATTGGGATCACCAAAAAGTTTCAAACAGCCATTATGCCTTGTAGGTTTCTTCTTCAAGCGATGTGAAATGAAAACAGCAAAAAAGAGGATGTTTGGCCACTTGGTAGAAAAGTTTAAGTAGGGACCAGGGTGCAATTTCAGGATTAAATGTGGAAAAGGCCATTTCAAATCTGAAATGTAAACTTTTTTCCCCCTACAAGACTCATAGGATTGCATTTAAGGCAAGGAATTATAGTATATGTGTAAGACAGGGGTCTTGGTTGTTTGAGAAGAAACCCTACTGAACTCAATGTGACACTCAGTTTGCTCAAGAAGTATTGGATGGTGCTAAAAGGTAACTTAAGATATGTTCTAAAGTAGTTCAGTCCAATTTGCAATATAGATCCATCTTTTTCAAATACAGCAGACCAGTATTGCAGTCAAGACTCTACTGTTGACCTAAGTTCAATGCTGATTGAACTCAAGATTGACTCAGCCTTCTATCCTTCCAAGGTCAGTAAATCAAGTCCCCAGCATGTTGGGGGGGATGGGCAATGTGTAACCTGCATAATTAAAAAAATGCAAACCCCCAAGAGAGTGTTTTAGGTGCTACGGGGTGAAATATAAGTAGCACATTTTCTCTGAGACACACCGTGGACAGAACGCCACAGAAAAGCTATGTTTTGAGGATGATGCTGATTTGCATCCCGAATACATCAGTGTCTATCGTTCTTGCAACCAAACAAGATTTTTGAAATGAACATCTAACCTTAGAACGCTTTCAATTGGTAGACTGAGATTTATATTTGATTGTAGACCAGACAGCTGGTTATTTTTAATTAGTGGAGACTGAAATCAGTGATATGAACTTAGAGAATGAAACCAGCCCACATAACCGCAGTCCTCTGGATGGCTCATGTGCCCAATCGCCTTAGTCATTTCAGGAGCCATTAGGGTGATGTTGATGGAATGGACGTGGTGGGTGAGAGATGAAAGATCTGCTCCTGATACGGAAGGGTCCTGCTAAAGTTAATGCACTTTATTTGAATAATATGCAACATTATGCCAGATACTTCCGCCTTAATGGAGGAGGCCTATCAGATCTTTTTCTAGTATGTTAGTGGCTAAAGAAATACTCGGGGGGATTAAGACACATACTCTCATGTCTGAACAGAGCAGACTGAAAGAAAAAAAATATGGCTGGATCTATGGGATAATAACTTGCCCAAGGCCCACAATGTAATCTTCAGAAATTGAGATGAGAATCTCATGTGCATCTCATAATTTTGACCTACTATATTACCATACCAAAAACCACTAAAGAATAGAATTATGTGACTAACAGTCATCCAAAATAGAAAAGAATTAAAAGTATGTTGTGAAATTTAATACTTTCTAAAACATGCTGTTTGTAAAGATACAGGAACATGCCTCACTTGCCCCATATTAAGAATATATTTAGGAGCACTGCTTACTTCCATTTTGATTTTTCCAGTTTTCCATTGTTTCTTTGGTGTGCAGTAATAGGCTTCTTTTAAAATGGCACGTATCCGTTTAGTATCAAGATCCAACACTGCTTTCAGGTTATCCCTGTGAAAGCTACATTTACTGGCTCTGCATCAAACTACAAAACTTGATAAGACTGAAAAGTCCTACAGTGTTCACTGCATATAAAAACAAATAGCAAATGCCATTTTCACTTTGATAATGGAAAAGCCTCTTCAGAGAGAAGTTGTCATTGTGCTAGACACGTGTGCAGACTAACAAGCAACCGCTGCAACTAACCAGAAAAATCAAGATCTAAACAACTTCATGCTTTTTCCTTAACTGTTCAGCTGATTGAATTGCACTCTTAAGTCTCCAGAGTTTAACTTATCAGGATTTCAAGGGCAAATTAATTCCAGAAGACTAGCTTCAAGGGAACTGCTTCACATTAAAGATCAGACAAAAGATTTAAGTCAGCAAAAACACTGTTTGCGTGTTGCACCATTCAGTGCTGGAGGCCAACAGCTCTTAGGATGATAACTGTTTGCATCTAAAATCTTAGAGCGCTAAAATGGAAATACTCTATGTATTTTATACATATTGAAAAGCACAGGCCAATATTCCACTTAAAAGTCTTTTACAGTAGCATATAGCAATTGTAAAGTATTGTAACCAAACTAAAATCAGTAATCAAATAAATCAGAAAATGCATACAGAGAAAAAAAAATCCAGAATTCTGATCTCACACTAGAATTAATTTCCATTTTATTAGAGATGTTCTGCTGGAATTCATTGCTACTACTAAGTACTACCATAATATGGATCACAAAATATGGAAGTTCAAGTATATACTGTACCTTGTTTTACCTGTAAGGAACACACACCTGACAAAAGGCAATCTTCACATCCAGGGTAGGTTCACTGCAGTAGTATAAGAAATGGCGGCTCATAAATACCTGCAATTGAAGGAACACCAATATGAGTATCTACCTTCTATTTTTGATCTGGAATTACAATAATATTAACATTATGATATAAAAACACCTGTTATCGTTGGTTATTGTGTGTATATATATATTAAAGATTTCTTAAAATTGCTTCTTACTTCAATAGTGTTTTAAACCTATAGTTTATGCAATTGCATTTTTAACACAATAAAATTATGGAGTTGTTTTCCCTGTACCAATTTCCATCTGCATTGGTTTTAATTTTGTCCTGAGTCGCCCTATATCTCAATAATAATGTGCTGTCAAGTCAGTTGCAACCAGGGCTTCAAAAAATTTACAATGTCTCACCAATCAGTCAGAAATTTCACCAGTCAGCGTGACTGGACTATAGCCTTGCAATTTATTGGGATTGGGAATCACTGATTTATACCCCCAGACTTGGGTTGGTGGAGTCATGAAGCTTGTATTTTGAATTCCTTTCATTTGAACGCCTCCAGCAAAAATAAAACTGAAAGCAAAAACACCTGGCCTCTAAGGAGCCATGGTTCCCTCCCACCCCAGGATGTGTCCTCGTTCGGTTGAAATTGGGAGCAAGGAATCTCCATATTTTCCAGCATGAGATTACTCTATATTCTCCTGCAGAGATATATCTCTATGTGCCGCTCGAACTCTCTTATATATGTCTATGTGCCGCTCAAACTCTCTTATCGCGAGAAGAGAACAGTTTGCCTTTTGCAATGGGAGGGGGGAAGTGAGGACTGCAGGATTAAAGAGAAAGAGAGAGAGAGAGAGAGAGTGAGGACTGCAGGATTAGAGAGACAAAGAGAGAGGTGGAGGGGAAGGAGGCAGGCAGGGAAGGAGCTGTGACTTGTCCAGCAGCATTTTTCACTCGTCACAGACAAGTGGACGAGTGCATTTTTCAAGCCCTGGTTCCAACTGATAATGCCCCTTGTAGTGGGAGAAAGACAAATCAAAATAGGACTCAAAGTGACAGAAAACTTCCTCTTATGGCAGCAGCAATGAAGATGATGAGCCCTGCTGTAGGAATTTAGACTAGTCCCATATTCTGGAACCTTGCATTATCCACACTGATGCTAGCAATGTCACAATAGGAATAGAAACAACCAAGAGTCATGCAAGACTGTTGTTTTAACCAAAACAAACCCTTGATATCTTAGCATGCAAAAACTAAGATTACTATTATTGCCAAAGTTGTAGGAGTAGAGGCAGCAATGCCCATCACCACCTCAGAATGAAATTCTATCCTGATCCCTGTCTCAAAATCTGATATTTGATTTTTTTGCACACAACTACCGTTCCCTCCCTGGTAGACATAGCGGTTGCCTGACTAAAGGGGTGGGGGAGCAAAACATCCTACAGAGATCTCAGTCTAAAACGCATCACATGTTAAATTTTTAATGAATGAATTATGATCCCCTTCCAAAAAAGCAAGCAGGTGACCTTTCCAACGTTGTGTTGCAGGAATTCAGACTGCTGTCTCATTGCTCAGTGACTCACTACAGAAACCTCCTACTCCACAGATGGTTTGATTATTTTTCCCCTATTTTTTTTTAAAAGCTTTTAATATTAATCGGAACCTCTATGGATCCTGGAAACCTAGCAGATAATTATGCCCTCTCACTGCAGGGAAACTGAGCATCTAAGTCCCATTAAGCAGACCTAGAATAATGTTACTGAAGCATTTTTGTCATACCAAAAGGTTGTGATTCGGATCGTTTCTTTCAAATATGCTGGGTTTGAGACACAGTAGAACAGGGAAAGGGGGAGGAAGTCTCCTTCTCAGTGGGTTTCTTACAGCATACATCATTCAGAAGGAGCACTCAAGTAGATACTCGATAGGCTGCACATGCATTAATAATCATATACAGATCCTGATGACACTATGAATGAGTAACTTGGTCTTCCTTAAGTGAAGTATAAGCTGATTTCCTTCTTCAACCAGAACACATGCAGATGTTGCCTTTGCATGTGAATGTTCCTTAATAACTCTTAACTCCTTTTATATACCAGTAGCAAACTGAGAACAGATCCTAACGTAGCCCAAAGAACACCATCCATATACAAAAGTGAGGCATCAATGATGAAGCTGATTCAAAGGGAAGCCAATGGTTTCCACCTTCACTCTGAACATATAACAATTCTAATCATATGAAGCTCTTTAAAAACTGCTGCAATGGATAGGAAAATATGATTTCACATACATCCCTTTTCAGTTCTGCCCCAAGACAAAAAAAAGAGCCAGGTGTGGAGTTTGTATGCCACCCCATAGTGCTTAAAGCTCCTTCTGGGTGGTTTAAAATTTAATTAAGCAAGCTACACATCCCGCCCCCAGCAAACTGGGTACTCAATGTATTGGCCTAAGAAAGATGGAAGACTGAGTGAACCTTGAGCCAGCTACTGAGACTGTACCCAGGTCTTGAGCAGTGTTTTTAGCTGGAGTACTGCAGTTTAACTACTGTGCCACAAATATCGAACCCAGGTCTTGAGCAGTGTTTTTAGCTGCAGTTTAACTACTGTGCCACAAAGCTCCTTAATACAACTGTCACATTTCCTTGTTCCAAGGAGACCGTAGCAGCATACATGGAATGGGGACCTCACATTTTATCTCATTACACACAAACACGTGTGAGATATGGTAGATTGATAGATTTGCCATAAATTTCATGGCCAAGCAAGTTGAACATGATTTCCCACATCCAAGCACAAGGGCCTAAGTACTACACCATCCCTTGCTTCCCCTATCTTCCTTCTGCTTGCACATCCTATCTGGAAGACGTAAGCTCCTCCTTTCTGATGTAAAGCTTTTCATTCTGTCCTTGAGGGCAAAGTCAAGAGAACTTTTGAGACTAATTTCCATACCCACATCTCAGACCTTCTTCTTGTCTTTGTTCTGTATATGTTCATAAAATGTTACTTTATAACATATCTAACATCCTTAGAATCCTGGAATCACTAGCAGTGAAAACTCTATATATTAAATTTCGAACTGAGCACTTTTAAGAAGCCTGGATTTCAATATATTTATTTCCTGACAAAGCCTTAATCCACAGAGACTGGGGCTATCTGTGTCTTCTGCTCATGGCCATTATATATCATCATCACCTACATCACAGATGGCATGCCTCTGAATTTCAGCTGTAGGGGGGGGAAAGAGCTCCTGCACGCTAGACCTGTCCTGTGTGTTTCATCTGGCTTATCACTACTTGGAACAAGCCAGTTTCATAAAACATGGTTTTAATCAACAAGAGGGTTGCTAGATTTGGTTGCCATGAATTTTTTTTCATTCAAAATGGAAGCTTCCAAACATCTCCAACATAGCCATGCTATACAACCACCCAGAGTGCCTTTGGTAGCCATATGGGTGGTATACAAATTAAACAGACAAACAAATACAGAGACACTGCATTCTTTAATCCTGAGGTCCACTGAGGCTCATTCTCATAAAGCATGGCAGCCAAACCAGTAAAGAGGTAAGAAAATCAGTTTTAACTGTTCACCAACACGTGAGTTAAAATGAGCTCAAGCTGAAGTTTAAAACAAATTGTATCAGTTTCCCACAATTCCCCGTTCCAGACAGATCTCAACTTTGAAAACGATATGCATGTGATATTTTTAGTGTCACTCATTAGTGCCAAATAAGGCCATGGCCCAAATCATGTTGTTTAGTGCAGTAAATTTCACTATAAGTGCACCTAAATCAATGAGGATTTGGTGAGTCAACTCCTCCACAAAGTTCCGCAGATTCAAATGGGTTTATTCTACCTGCAAGCTACTGTGAGCTGCAATTACAGTAGATTCATTTGAATCAATGGAACTTATGAAGCAGTTTGCTTAACAGTTTCCCACTGATTTAATGGGCCTTTTCTAATGAGATTTACAAGCAACAGGATTTCAGCCACCTTCATCACATGCTCTGCATCACGTGACCTGGTGCAAAACAAATAATGGCTGAAATCCAGTAGTAAGATCAAGCTAAGTTCACTTAACTTGAGGCAATTTGCTGCTAAAAGTTGCACCTTTTGTATAACTACACAAGAGGATTTCAGCCATCATATGTTTATATTGCCAACATATATATCAGTGCCTCAGCTGCTCAAAATATAAGGCAGATGGTGGCTTTTGATCAAGGGCAGGTAGATTCAGGGCTGCTGAAGTTTTGCTGATTCACTACCAACCATCCAAAGATCTACCAATAGCTCTTAGTATACCTTCTATCATATATATAAATATATGGTTTAATGGTCACATGATTAATTACTACCAGGGTTTTTCTTTCATAACATACATTTGGTTCCAGAAAGGAGTAGTTAATTATTATGATGAAAGGTTAAGTTAATTATCTGCATTTGGCTTTTCCTCCCTTACTTAACAGCATTTAAAAATTAGTACACATTTTTCAATTGGCTCTAATGCAGCCCTTTAAATCATTCATGGAATAAGTGGGCAAAGTGAAAGTGAACATAAGGTAATAATTTAAGTAGGTAAAACACCAATTCGAATCTCAGCAGAAAAAGGTTTATCTTCCTTCTAGAAGCATTGTATTACAAGAAAGAGAAATGAGGGCTGTAAATTAAGGCTGTTAAAAATGCACATTGCCATTTTTCTAACTCTTAAACTGATCTACCGGAGTAGGCAGAAAAAGTTTTTAAAGTCATGAAAGGGGGGCGGGAAAGATGTTTAACATGCAGGGGTGCTACAAAAATCAAAAGGGAATTGTAGGGTTTGCTTGGTAATTGTTGAACAAACTTAGCAGACTGCAGTTTGGGAGTTCTGATCTTAAACCTCGAGAGACCTAAATAATTAAACCAGAGTTGCCCCAGAAAATTCATCGAAAGCTAAGTTACGAGCAAATTTGGTCCTTACGTGAAATCTAAGGAATTTTGAACAAAGCCAAACATTTCAATAAGTCTACTTTGACTCCAATGGACAATTCCACATATCTCTTGGATACAGCTAGTATTTGTCTGCCTGCCTATCTTTTTATCCTC